GCTGTTGAAACCTCTGGTCAGATTGCTGGAACATCAGAGCTTGAGGACTTTGGGGCAGATTACTCCACTTTGGAACAGCATGACAGAAAGCACAGAACCAAACACAAAGTGCCAGAGCCTGAACAACACACCAACGTCCTGCCATTGTCCAACAGCCAGTCACACTGTTGAGATGCTGCCCTTTGATTTTTTTGTACTCTACCGATTTTGGCTAATTAACGATAATCCCTCCCTTTTCATTAACAGTCATGATTCTCCAGACTTGCATGAGTGTGGAGTTTATCCAACTGGGTGTTTCCATTTGTTCTTAAAATTCAATTGTCCTTTGTTTTTCCACCCTTTTTTAACATACAAAGAATGCACATATTGAGCTTGATGCAGAATAGTTTTCTAGTACTATTTCTGCCGTTCAAAATTTGGCCTTTGTTTTATGCTTCATCCTGCAAATATAATGGTGGATGTTTTGGCTTTTCTGGCCTGTGTATTCAGATTGACTCAAGAGTTTGACATGCAGGATTATGTTTCAATGATATGGAAGCCTTTATCAGCAAGCAATAGCTGCCGTATTCTTAAAATGATCTTGCATTTCTACTATTATGCTCTTATATGTGTTCATGTTTTTGAAAGCTGCATTCATTTGATCAAAAATACAGTACAAAATGTGAAATATTATTCCAAATTAGAATAGCTGTTGTCTTCGTAATAATAGTGTAAAGTCTAATTGATTCCTATACTGGCTAACGCCAGACTACATACCATTTAGAATGAGACGTGGTCCGGAAACCACGTTAATTTTCTCGTATTTGAGGCATGGTTTACGAATGCCCAGAGCCATATTATTGGGTCCTACAAATGTCTATCAAAGGTGCCTGTGCTCCCTCCCCATTCTGTGATTGGGTCCCTATTTCAGGGGAAATTTCGGTTCATGGGGTCCAGGCTGCTTAGAAGCATGAATAAAATCACACTGTGGCAAGGCAGCATGGGGAAATACAGGCTAATTTATTCCTGTGATGAAAGCTGAATTTTCAGCATCGGTACTCCAGTCTTCAGTATCACATGGTCCTTTAGAAATCATTCTAATAGGCTGCTTAAGAAACATTGATTACCATCAATTCTTTGCCAGTCTGCCAGCATTGAGTTTGTGTCTTAGATTGGTACTCACTTTCCTAACTACGTTCACTGTGGTCTGTAGGTGCACACGAACAAGCATCAAAAGACACCTGGAAATGGATTTTTTCAATGCAATGAACAGATTTAAAAGCTCTTCACACAACAAGTAGGGCTACACGATGATGGATAAACCGATAATCATTATTATTCTCATTTGAGTTATTTCGTCTATCCAAATTATGTAATTTTCATGTGAACACAAAAACATCTACACATATGCAGGGTATATTTTCCAGAAATACTGTAAGTCACAATTCCAAGAAACCCACAATTGTGAATAAGTCACTAATATGATTGTTATTCCTTAGCATAATAATCTGTGAGACGTAAAATATTGAGCTTTATAGAAGCATAGGAACCCAGGTTTGCAACTGGAGCTTGGCAAGTAGTTCAGTGAAATGGCTTGGGCAGAAGTTTGGCTTATTTAGTTCAAATCAAGCACCAATCAGAATGAACAACCTTGCTAAAGCACAAATGGAACTTTAGTAGTGTGGCCCAGTATATATCTAAAAAAAAAAAAAAAACACCCAAGAACAGTCATGTAAGAGCCGACTTGAACGTCAGTACCAATTTATTAAATCTAATTTGACATGACCAGGTTAACTTCTCCACTAGACACCACAGTTTGCCCACTAGAGATGGTCTTGATGGGAGTGTCCCTTCCTGTAAGAGAAGTGGTAGAAGCATGAGGAGCATTTACAAACCAAATTCTCAGGGTTCCCAAGTCGGTTTACAGCGAGCACTCACTTTTCCTAGCGCAGCTTTGCTCACAGGAGCCAGAAGAGGGATGGCACACTGCTGTACTACAGTGGATGAAGATCTAACAGAGGGAGAAAAGGTTTAGCCATAGAATTCACTATAAAAAGTACTAATAATAAGGGTTGAGGTAAGGCTTTGGAGCATACGGTTTCCTGCAGAGGAGCCAGTGATGATGGATCAACAAATGTGAACATCTTCACAATAAAGCGCTTGTAGTGGGTTGGGAACTGAAGACCAGACGATCCAGTCACTGGAACCAATGTGGTCAGGTAACGATCATCCTGGTAAGGGCATCTGAAAGGCAAAGAGGGAATCAGAAACACCTTACAGCACACTAGATGGACAAAGACTGGCCTTACTCACCCATCAACCAGAAGGTCCCATTGGGGTAGACTGAGTGGACTGGGGGTTGACGTCGCCCAGCAATGTCCCAGCATCAGGACAATGTTGGGGTCGGTCCTCTCCAAAACGCGCACCTCAACATACACAGGCTCCCGCAGGACTTTTGTAACAGGATAATCAGCATCACTGTAGTAGGAAGTGTACGCCTCGTCCCCTGAGGAAGAACAGTGTTTAACCAGAAACCACTGCAACCTGGAGCTTTAGAAAAGCTTTAGGCACACTCTTGGGTCAAATACTTACCTTCTGCACAGCCTTTGGTGACACACTGACCATTTGCTAGCCTAAGCTCCACCCTGAGGGGTCCAGGAGCAGCTACTGGTGGAGGTGGAGGAACAGTGTTGACCTCCACAACCAGAGCTTCCACAGAAGTACCAGAGTACCTACACTGGAAGAGAAGCCTGGAAAACAAACAGTGAGCTTGTAGCATTTGCCAAGGATTAACAAACCTGCTAAAGCATACATCACCCACTCAAAATGGCTGTCCCTTGTGATGGAACCAAGTGGTCCGATACCCACTTCATACGAGGAGGTCATTCGGTTTTCATACACCACATATCCACTGTCCTCCTGCAAATAGTAACACTGTTGGCATCCAGTCCATCCGAACCCATGCAGAACAAAACCACAAGCAGCTACTCACCATCATGCTCGTGCCGCACGCAGTGACGGGGAACTGGTATATAGCGAAGAAAGGTGTGGATCCCACAGGACTGCAAGCTGGATCATTTCCACCCAGGAGACGCACTGAATCCAGGCTCAAACGAGGCAGCGTGACATCTCTAGCCACCACTACCACAAACTGACCATCTCTTATACACTGGACAGTCACTGGAACAAGGCACAAGAGCTGGTTATTGATGAGGATCGGTTTAACAAGAAACACCTTTACATTGACTCTACACTCTTACCAGCCTTCCCATAGTAACACTGCTGTCCGTTAAAGCAGCAGTTGATAGCTGCACACTCAGCACCACTGATACCAGGCGGTCCACATTGGATCTGCTCATAATCAGCTACACTACATTTGTCAATGGGCTCTGCCTTTACCACTGGGTACTTAGACTGAAACTGCTGAGGAAACTGTTGACTAGCTTGCTGTTGAACTGACTGAGGAAACTGTTGACTAGCTTGCTGTTGAACAGATTGAGGAAACTGCTGACTAGCTTGAACAGACTGAGGAAACTGTTGACTAGCTTGCTGTTGAACAGACTGAGGAAACCGCTGACTAGTTTGCTGTTGAACTAGCTGAGATAACTGTTGACTAGCTTGCTGTTGATTTGACAGAGGAAACTGTTGACTAGCTTGAACTGACAGAGGAAACTGTTGACTAGCTTGAACTGACTGAGGAAACTGTTGACTAGCTTGCTGTTGAAACCTCTGGTCAGATTGCTGGAACATCAGAGCTTGAGGACTTTGGGGCAGATTACTCCACTTTGGAACAGCATGACAGAAAGCACAGAACCAAACACAAAGTGCCAGAGACTGAACAACACACCAATGTCCTGCCATTGTCCAACAGCTAATCACACTGTTGAGATGCTGCCCTTTGGTTTTTTGTACTCTACCGATTTTGGCTAATTAACGATAATCCCTCCCTTTTCATTAACAGTCATGATTCTCCAGACTTGCATGAGTGTGGAGTTTATCCAACTGGGAGTTTCCATTTGTTCTTGAGATTCAATTGTCCTTGTTTTTCCACCCTTTTTGAACATACAATGAATGCACATATTGAGCTTGATGCAGAATAGTTTTCTAGTACTATTTCTGCCGTTCAAAATTCCTTCATCCTGCGAATATAATGGGGGATGTTTTGGCTATTATGGATTGTTTTTTCTTTAAAACGCGTCTTGGATTTCTCTTGGCAACAGGCCTTAGTATTCAGACTGACTCAAGAGTTTGATGTGCAGGATTATGTTGCAATGATATGGAAGCATTTATCAGCAATAGCTTAGTTATTCTTAAATGTTGCACCATTAAAAAACAATTTCTATAATAAAGTGTTTTAATATCCTGCGCACACTGTAAGAGATCATTCCGTATAGCTCAATATTTTATTTAGCAGGGTGCAGACTGGACCTGAAAGTAAGGCAATAATATAGCTCAATTTAATTTAAACATGAACATTTATTCTAATATGAGTCTTGACAGAAAATAACAGTATCCGTTAGAAGTCTCTCTTCACGAAAAAATATCGGTCATCAACGTTGTCTCTGGTGGGTAAGAAATGGTTAAACAAATAAAACTTGGTTTCACTACCAAAGAATTAATTCTCTAAACTATGCTTGAATTCAATTATTAGAGGACAACTATTATTTGAGACAAAGGTAGTCATGTGAAAATGCACAAGAACTCATTAGGGCTGTTCTTGCACATATGCAATGCTCTCAGTTAACAACCAATGTGGAACCAGATTAAGAAAGCACCAGTCTACTATTCAATAAACATTACTGGGACCACTCGAGTTTAAGGATTTAACCGCGATACACCGCTCTATAGTAATTTGAAAGTGATTGCAGTACCAGTTTTGGCCACAATCTTACATACGGCTCCTTTAATTATTAGAGACAAATAAAAATTGTGATCAAATATATAAATATGATTAATCGTACAGCCTTAAAAAGTGTCACACGTTACATACATTAAATGCTGTTATTTTCCCCCATCTATAGCAATTCTCTGGTGTCTGTTGTTGGTGCCAAGGCTACGCCCATTCCTGCCAAGGGCGAGTTTATTAATATGAATAAATGCACTGCTTTTTTCCCTGGACTGAAGTACTGTACAGTCCTGAAGTATCCTGATGCAACATCAAACGATGCTGCCCCTTACTTTCCTCTCACTGGTGACAGCAAGTAAGTGAAAATCATCTATTTTCCAATATCGAAATTTTTCTCAAACATTTCATCCACATTCGTCTGTGTTTAGATTTGCTGTTGAGCTCCATCCATCTGAAGAGGTCACGGAGTATATTGCCACCATCAGCTACGCCTACGAAGATGAGGCAGACAAAGTCACGTATAGCCTGAAGGCTGAAGGTTAGAGATGACTTAACAAAATACATAACTGGATAAATAAAAGAGAAAACATTTCAATTTTACCATCATTTGTCTTTTGCTCACTGACAGGAACATCCCATGAGGCCAGAACTGTAGTAATATTGAACAGACAGCAGTACAGCATCTCTGCAGAGTTGCTTATCGATTCTCTTCAGGTTGATTCTAAAGTTTCTGCAAAACTGAAGCATGGTGAGAAGTTGACTTTGGAAATCGAGAGTGACCTAAAACTCCCAGAGACGACTTCTGTTCAAACACTCATCCTCAAATATGGTACATGTCCAGTACAAATGGCCTGTCGCGATTATTGATTGTGGTTATCAGATCAAATTTAGATCTGTTCAGCTTAAATTTCAGTCTCAGTTTGCCATTCAAATAAGGAAATATATGACACTATCATTCTAGTGAATTATCTCTCTCAAAATATATTCGCAGAGAATGAAAAGATTGAGGCTGAATTTAAGTCTGATGTCAGATCTGAGATACAAAGAATCATTCCCAACATCCTTCTTGACGGCCTGAATGAGTTGAAGGTCCGCGATGTTCTGGCAAAGGCAGTTGCGGTGAGAACTTCCCTCAATTTTTTTTCCATCAGCTTTCGAGAATATCCAAAGAAACACTGCAAAAAATTCTGTTCTTACTTAGTATTTGTGTCTTGTTTCCAGTCCAAATATCAAACATTTCTTAAATCAAGATGCATTTACTAAAGTAGTAAAAATAAAAAAATAAAAATTAAGTTAGTTTTTGCTTAAAACAAAACTCACTTAATTTTGATCACTTCCCCCAGATAATATCTTATGTAATTTTACTCATCTAGTGAATGGTTCTTGATTTAAGGATATTTAGATATTTGGACTGGAAACAAGACAAAAATACTAAGTAAGAACAGTTTTTTTTTTTTTTTTGCAGCAAATAAATGCTTATTAAACTTAAAGGGAGTGTTAACCCTAAAATGGACTAACATTAAGTAATTTACTCACCCTGATGTTGTTCTAATAATGCCATATACCCTTCTTTCTTTTTCGGACCACAAAAGGAGAACATTTTATTTTTTTTAAAAAAATAAAAGGTAAATCCAAGGTAAATCATCAACACTATCATCCCTTATAAGTGTTTTATTTAATTGAATACATATATAAATAGTCTCAGATACATCACAAAAAGCTAAAATGCATGCGCAGGATACTTTACTTCCTGAACAAGTGCGCGCCCTAATCCGTGTTGCTTTCACATTCACGCGAACCGCGGCATGAGCATGATGGGAGGAAATTGGTGGGAATAAAAAGCTAAAATAATCTAGTTGTAGCCTTGTAAATAGTGTCACTACAAGATTCAGTGTTTCAAAAATCTTTAGTCTGAGACTAAAAACTCTGAACCCAAAGTCTTTAGATGTAGCTAGAGCATTTATTGAGATCGGGGAGTGAGGTTTACTCGCACAGCAACTACTAGCTGGCCTCCGTTACACTCACCCCCCTAAACCTCACTCTCATCCGGGTCACGGCACCAATGTAACCCCTCACACCCGGGTCCAACTCGAACCGCTCCGAGCGGGCCTCGAACCCGGGTCTCCGGCGTGAGAGTCAGGCGCGCTAACAAGGAGGCTAAAGACTGCAGCCTCTAGCGTCTGTCGCTAGAGCACCTATTGAGATTGGGGAGTGAGGTTTACTCGCACAGCAACTACTAGCTGACCTCCGTTACACTGATAATCTTATAAAGTCTTTTCTAAATCTAAATCGGCATAATGTGAGAATGTCAGAGAATGATCCCTTGTGACACAACACATATTCCAAGTGTTCAAGGGGTTTACGATAGGGTTTAATGCATTTTTAATGTAGGGTTTTACACTAAATTTATGTATTATTTAATTTATCAAAAATCCTGACCTTGGCCACAAGTTGTAAGAAATTAAAATAAATTAAAACACATCATGAAATACGTCACCTATACAATCCAAAAAGTATCCACGTACTTTCTTCACTGAATCAAATATAGATGTGAACACAATTTTTTGTTACGACAAACACAAAAAAGTACATGGATTGTATTTCATGGTGCTTGATTGCTCACAACGTGAGTCGGAGTGAACTGCATCGCTAATAAGAGTCTCATGAATGAATGCAGTTGAGCATAAAGGATAAGGATTTTTGTTAAATAATACATTAAATTGTGGTTTCTTTTCCACCAAGCTCTATCGTAAACCATTGGACCATTCTGTGATACTTTTGTGTCTTTCAATGAAAGTTTGAGGTTGGTGCAGGAGGATAGGTGCACGAGGAGGGCTTTTTTGTGGTCTAAAGCATACTGCATTAGAACAACACCAAGGTGAGTAAATAATGACTTACTTTTATTTATTTATGTTTTACATGTATGCAGATTTTGGGAGTCCACACTGTGCCGGTGATCACTCTTCCTGAAAGATTGTTCCTAAATGTGTGAGTAAATGACACCATGTTCAACAGTATTTCAATTAATTTCACAGTTACCAGTTAAAATTAACACGTGCTTTTTAATACAGAGAGGCTGCTTTTAAACACCACTTTGGCCAGCATTACTACACCATCACTCTTCCCTTGCCCTTGGGTGGAAAATCCACTAGGGATCTGAACTTTCCCACAACCCTCTCCACACCAAACCTGATTGTACCTCATCTTGGTCTGGAGTTTGAATCTGCTAGCATTGACCTTCCAGAGGTCTTCATTCCTAGAAGCGTGTCTCTGTCTGTCCCAACTCTCGGATTGGTAGAGTTGTCCGGAAAACTAAACAGCAACTATTACATCTTAGACGCAGCTGTGTCTGCAGCCAGAGATCCTGCTGAAAGTTATTCCGCTAAGTTTGAAGTCACTGGCACAAGTCCTGTTGACCTCCTCTCCCTAAAGGTCGAAGGTAAACCTATATTTGAAGTACCACATGCACTTGTTTTGGATGGTTGCTTATTGATTTATTTATTCCACAGGATCTGCTCTAGTTGAGACCACACCTGGCGATCCTCTCAAGGCGAACGTAAAGGCCGTGCTTCGCCACGAGATTATCGATGCCACGATTGGTGTTGAGGGGGAAGTGGAATTTGCTGAAAAACTCAGTGTGAGATCCAAAAGCAAGCTTGAAGTAACTAGCCATGTTGGAGTGCAAATTTCATTGGAGCACACTGGACAGTTTGGCGTTGATGCCGAGGAGATCTCTGGAGATGGAAACCTGGAAGGATTCTTCAAGGCTGGTTCAGTCCATGGGTCAGGAAACTTTTTGCAATCAGTCTCAGTCATCCCATTCAGACGAGAGGCAAAGATGAATTCTTCACTGAAAGTAGATTCAAAACTTCTTCAGGCTCACAACTCCTTTGCTGTAGCCTTTGCCAATGGAGAGCTGATAATTCTGTCCAACAACACAGCATATGACAACCTTGTAACATTGCTAAACATTGCTAAAATAACCTTCAAGGAATCCCAGCTTGATCTAAATTCTCATACGAAAGCAAAGCTTCTTGGCCTGAAGATTCAAAACGTGGTTGAGACCAGAGCTGGCGTTGAATCCGTTAGAATTAAGATTGAGACCTCAACTTACAGCATTGAAGAACGTATCCATTCCCTGATCACAGGAGCTCTGGACATCAGTGGTCTAGCTATTCACAGTGACGCCTCTGTTAAACTCATTGGACAGCAAGCTGTCCACAAAGCCATTCTGAACCTCAATAAAGATGGCCTGAGAACCTATGGCACAACCTCACTGCAAAGCTTCCTGCAGGAGCTTAAACACACCTTCGAGATCACCTACAAAAATGAAACGGCCACTGCTCAGTGCAAAACCATTGGTAAAATCATGGGAAGTCACATTGACCACATCACTGAGCTAGAGATTGCTGGACTTTCTGGCAAAATCAAAAATCATATACGTTTCAACTCCAGATTATTTAATTTTGTCACCAACAGTGATGGGACATCTATTCCATTCAGTTTCAATTTTGATGCCAGTGTTAACAGTAAGGATAACACATACTTCCCTTATGTAAAGACAGGGCATGATTTTACCGCAAAAGTCTTTCTAAAAGCAGAACCACAATCCTTAGCTCACTCTCATGAATGCAAAATCTCAACCAGCCTTCACCTAGACAACGCTGTCGACATTAAATCACTATTTGAAAGCATGTCTGACACTCTGCTTATCCCCTCTGAACAAAAGATTAAAGTGGCAATTAAGGCTAAAGTGAACGACTATACCATTAAACAGGAGATCAGCGCTTACAACAGTCCGGCACGGCTTGGGCTGGAAGGGTCTGGAAAAGTGCGCACCAATCTGTTCAACACTGCCAACACTGCTTATCAGGACTTTGCAGTCTCTGGCTTCCTAAAGTATGACAAAAGCACCGATACACAATCAGTTAGCTTGCCTTTCATTGAAAGTTTTTCACAACTCCCTGAAAACATCAGAAAAACACTTGTGAGCATGGGCGAGACCCTGAGGAAATACATCAACCGAGAGTGGATTCAGAACATACCTCATCGCGTAAGCGACTTTGTGTCTAAATTGAACTTTGAGAGAAGAGCTGTGCAGCTGAAACATGCCTTGAAAACTCTGTACCACGAGAACGCATTAAAGCTGAAAGGTCTGATCGGTGCTTTTCAGAAATTAGTGAGTGATGTGTTCAACGGTGAGGCATTGGATAGTTTGGGGGAATTGATTGTGATGGGTATGCATATCAACAAAGTTGTTGAAATCCTACCAAAGCACATCAAGGTGTTGATATTTTCCATCATTGAGGACGTAAAAAATATTCTAAGCTTGATCAACACCCAAGGTTACTCAAAGCTGAATGAAATCTTCCATCCTGCCAATGCTGAGAACAAGCAAATTCCTGCAATTTCGACATATCTTCTAGTGCCATCTTTTGGAAAACTGTATGGTGAATTCACAATCAAAACCCCTCTCTACAACGCCAGAACCTCTGCAGAGTTCAAGAACGCCTCAGAGAGATACCCTTTCTTCACAGCTTGCATTAACTCTAAAGGAACCTCTGCAAACCTCAACGCCCTGAGTTATGATCTAGAATCCACCGCACAGATATCGATCCCCGAGACGAGTCCTGTAATACTATCTGAAACTTTCAAGTTAGCACACATTGATTTGACTTTAGACCAACAGGCGTTGTTGACTCTGAATGGATCTGCCTCTAACAATACTGTCTTTCTTGAAACTTCATATAAAAACCAGGTGAACATCCCCTCGCACTCACTGTTTGGTGACGTTATCCTGATTCAGAAGGCTGTAGCTCGCCAGGGTGATGCTGCATTCACACTGACGGTTAAAAATGAAGGAACTGGCAGATTTGCCCTTCGAGACTTCTCAGAGAAAGGCACCCATAAGAGTGACTTGCATTTGGACATGGGCATTGGCGCCGCCAAGCTGTCTTTTACTGGCCACACTGATAGCGATACTCTGCAGATCAAGATGAAGATGAAAGTGAATGCTGATGCTGTTGCTCTAAGCCACCTTGAATTCAATGCTAGTGTTGATACCGAGTCTCCATTTATCAAGAACAGTTTGCTGGTTGCTTCTGGGAAGGCTCGTTTGGGGGATATGACGGTGGAAATCAAGGCATCCCACGTCACGTCAGTTGTCGGAGCTGTCAGCGGTGTCCTCGCCAATGCCGCCAACATCATGACTTGTCCTAATGAGGTTGCTATTGACTTTCAGAACAGGGGTATTGCTAAGATCAACCTCTTCGAGTCATTTTTAGGCAATGTTGATGTCCAGAAAGACTTCACTGTTACCTTCAACTCTAACATACAAGAAATCCGCAGTGTGCTATTCGCATATTTAAACAATTACAACTACAGACAAAACATCACAGCCAGCAATGGCAAAGCTGAGATGGGTATTTACGCTGTTGTGAATAGTTTGGCCAGCTTTGGGTACTTGAAAGCTGCAGAAATGTTTGTGCCGGCCATTTTTAAGATTTCAGCAACTAGAGAGCTGAACTGGAATGATGATACTGGCCTATGGTATGACTTTACCACAAATGACCAGCCTGTTAATCTAAGTGCCAAACTTGTCTACCAGAAGAGCTGGTTTGCTCCTATTGTTGATTTGATTGTCCCTTCATTGGGTAATCTAGTCTCTGAGGTATCTTTCAAGTCCTCTATTCTTAACCTCAATGCTAATGCAGGTGTTTACCCGAAGGATTACTGGATGGGTGTAAGTGCCACGACTGCCTCCATGTTGCAGGGATTGAAGGCCAAGCTTAATGGAACCACTGGCCTGACCACAGAAAGTGGATTGAAACTGGCCTCTTGTTTGTCTTTGGAGAATACCCACATTGGCGGTCATCATGAGAGTACCTTGACTCTGGAAGACATCTATGAGGCTGTGTTGTCTGTGGACACAGTTGCTAAGATTAATCTGACAAGCTTAACTATTGATGTCACTCATCAACTTTCTGCGGACCCCAAGGTCCATCCAAAGGCAACATCAAACTTGAAGATCAAGTACACTTTCGATCGTCCAGATTCGGTGGCTGCTGGACGTGGAGATGCTGAGAATACATTAAAGCTGGATGCAACTCTTTCCTTCATCTCCATTGAGTCTACAACCCAAGTAACCACAAATTCTACATTCACAGATGCTACTGAACTTACGGGAGAAATGGATAATCAAGCTAACATCTATGTGAGTGCTGATGGTCTGAAATCCAATCTGAAGACTATTGGAAATGGGTACATTGATTTTAAATATTCTAAGCTTAAGTTTGACATTAGTGACCAGCTGACCTTGGAGGGAGATCTTGACCGTATGTATTCTTTGCTAGAAATTGATTCAAACTATACATATTTCCATCACAAATTTGGTGAATTAACAATAAACCACACTGCTCTTGGTAAAGCTGAACTTGTTCCCCTAAGCACCCTCTTGACTGCTGTAGACATGTTCTTCACTCAGCAAAGTCGTAGTGACTTTGATGTGAGAGAAACAGAAAGTATTTTTTCATCGAATAGGTTTGAAAGCAAAACAGAGATTTTCTCCCGTTGGTTCAATTCAACTATAGAAATGTCAGCTGAGCATAATGTACCCATCACAAAGGCCATGTATGGGTGCTCTTCTAATCTCACATCTCCATCTACACTTCTGGAGTATCAGGGTGAATTAAGTATAACTGTAACTGATTGAACAGTTAACGATAATTTCTGTTGAATACACACCGGACCGGAGGATATATTTCCTTAAGGGATTGATTTCAACTAATCATTGGGCTTTATTTACTGTATGCTTGCTCATCTAGGCCTCATAATCCCTGACATGAATAGATTCAGAATAACTTTAAAAGTCCCTCTCAAGAACAATGATGTAAACATGGTTGTCTAGTGATTGAAACCCTGAAATATTATATCCCATTTAAACACTACAATAAATGGATGATTTAACTGTAAATACAGACTCGACTCTTCTTCATTGAGAACCTCATGTTTTGTTTTGGGTGGTTGTCATACACACACACACGGCTCATTGACGTGTAGTCCACATTTGTGACGTAGTCTTTGGTTCACTGCAGTTTTAAGGAGGAAATACTCAGCAATGCTGTCCACTTGAACTTAGTGTGTTAAAGCAGATTAAACACACCACATACACACATTAATCAACATTAAAAGCTGGATTTACACCACAGAGGGACGTATAGAGCGCTTTACTCTTAATCGACAAAGCTCTTGTGTGCTGTTTTATAATAATAATAATCTGTTTTCAGTCACTGACATACAGTAAGTCACGCCAGTTCTGTCACACACTGTTTTAGTACAAGCTGTGTCAACCTGCTGATCCAAGTGATTCGGCCGTGAGAGTATCAGTGTGTGTGTGTGTGTTAAACAGGGGTGTTTCATTGATCGATGTCCAATGTTAGCCTCATTTCTCAGGGATATCTATATCAAGAGGCTCGTTCCTGGATGTGTCTTGTGAGCATGACTTGCTCTTTTTCTTACTGTAATCTGTAAAAATAGCCAGAATCATCCTTGATGTGACTTCCAAGGCTTTGGTTTCACTAAAAGTTTGTTTTAGAGCAGATTTCATATTCAGACCCGAGACTAGGAGTTTAAAGGCCAAAGTATCATACTGTTGACCTTCAAACTTGATAATATGATTATATCAGGATTATTATGCTGTCTCGTGGTCCGATCGAGCTCAGCGTGTGCCTCATAGTGGCAATCCTCTCCTTTTGAACAGAATCGAGTCAAGAACGGTGTTCATTCCTTTGTTCTTGAATCATCTGTGGGTCCAACTCTCTTATGACCTCTTCTATTCAAAGATCATATCTGTCATATCTTATTGTGAGATCTCTCGGCTCGATTTTCTCTCAAATGTGTCCGGGCAGGTTTTCAGCGATTAGGCAGTTACTAGTGAATGGGTCGTTGAATCTTTCAGTTAGTGTTGGGTCGAGTCCACCTTTGTGGAGTCCGAGACCTTAACAATCGAGGCCGAGTCTGGTCAAAGATTTAAATTATTATTTTAATATTAATCATTTGAAATAGACGTTTCACAAAGACCCGCCCCTCTTAGTTACTGTTGCTACGTCCGACAAGCCCTTCCGCTCTCATTCCACACACACTGAGACATATAGCAGAGCGAAGACTGACAGTTCAAACAATTCTAACAATAAATACAACATTCTGCCGCTTTGATTAAACAAGTACACTAAACTCCGCTTCACGTCGTGCATTAATGCACAGCTATCCGTTGATTATCTTGCTGATACATTTACAATTATCCATATTCCATACCAGATGGGGGCAGTATACCTCCAGAAAGTGAGTTGTGCCACGGCCGCGCGCACTCTCACGTCTTCAAACAACACGAGCGAGCGCTGTTTTGCTCTCTTCCTCCGCATATTAATCAAATCAATGACACGATAGTAAAAGGTTGGAAGACCGCAGTTTCATGTGGAGCATTTGGAGATTTTTAGAGATCAGAGACCCAATGAACAACATCTCAATACTAAATTATAAAGGCCGTCTCATAGACGCCTGTCTCAAAAACAAGCCGGTGCATTTTGACGATATGGGAAAATAAAAGCCCGGCCTATTATTTGAAGTTTTACGGTATTCGTTTTGTTCATGCTACATTTTTATTGTTAGTTTGAATTAATTTGACAGACAGCATTTGCTGATGTTGACCAAGCTAGCGCCAATCAGAGCTGTCAACTCTCACAAATTCACCGTGACACTTTTCACATGCTCTCACGCCACACATCAGAAAAGGACACGGAGACCGACAGACTAGACAGAGCAGGTTAGTTATGATATATAAAACAATCTCAGCTCAATTTTATTACGCAATTCAAACAATAAATACCGTTTTGGCGCTTGTAAATGTTACACGACAGAGCACACGTCATCTCTACTAGCTAATGGTAAAAGAACACGAACACTGTTGAAAGATACAGTATGCTACAACTTACCAAAATGTATTCCTCATGCATAATATCGACCAATCAATTTTTTAACTCTTCCCTCAACTGAAATGTAGTAGTGGGCTGTATTTCCACACGATTTACATCAGGTTCAAGTACACACAAGCCGTGTGAGTTAAGGGGGTCGCACACCGGGCGCGCAGCGCAGCGCCGCGCCGCGTCGCGTCGCGCCACGTCTAGAACAATTCACAGGTATCGCACACCGGACGCGCAAATTCTATTCGCACGAGCTCAGTTTTGAATCAACTCCTGGTAGGAGTCAAGAGCTGCAAAATGGGTGAGTTTAAACTGGATGTATTATATATATTTTTTATGTTAAGTGAATAAAATAGCTGATGTTTGAACGTTATTAACCAAGTAAAAGTGTCTATCACCTTGTTAAGTCTGTTATTTTGTTGTAACGTTATCCGTTGTCTAGGCAACTACTTCATTGATTACTCCCTACTCCTTCATACTACTACTTCATTGACGAGTTTTTCTTCGTCCATTTCGCTCCACTGCTACGCTACAGAAAGTACCTGAAGTGTGTTGTAACCTGGTAAATCCAATAGGTGGCTGTACACGAGCGTGAACCACGTGAGGCAAACCTTACATCGCATGCATTAATATTTCGCACTTATGGGTTTAGACTGCTAGGCTACTTAATAATAATAATAACCCAGTTAGTGTATGGTTAATATGATAGAGTACCTATTGAAAATGGATTTAAAAAGGCTATGTTTGATAAAACTATGCAAATGGCGCTCTGTGGCGCGGCAGGGTTTTGAACACCGTCCTGAGCCGTAGCTGGGCGGCGCGGACAGACGCCGAATGGCGCCGCCGGTGTGTGTACACACATAGAGAATAATGTGTTCGAATTTTGAAGACATGGCGCTGCGCGACGCGGCGCTGCGCGCCCGGTGTGCGACCCCCTTTACTCGTCTATTGCAGTTTGGCTAGTGGTAATGTTGCCCGCCCGCATACCGCCTCCCATGGCCGAAACTGGTATTACGACACCTGCCGGGCCGGGGCTAGTAATTTAGCATGCTAATTCAGGTCAATATCTCTGCAGCACTATGACTTGTCATTTTTTTAATGACATCATCAACCTTATTTCTTCTCATTCTTGATGCATGTAGCTCATTTTTGGGATATTTTAACCTCAATTCTTACACATGGCACCTTTAAAGCTGTTATTGATGTTCGCAGTATTTGACTAGAAGGGTCCAACGGGCGGCTGTTTCAGTTGCGGCTCGATGAGAAATATAATGTAGCGATTCAGCGGAAATGGAGTTTAATTTATTAGGCATTCCTCAAGAAAATCCTCTGAAAAGCGAACAGATATGCGCTGAATTAGAGATGGTAAAAGTGAGTGGGTCCAATATCATTGGTCTTAAAAAGTGAGTGGGTCTTGTCCCACCATATACAATGGTTCCAACGCCCATGGATCAATCTGCTAGTTTCCACTTTGCTAGAGTCCACTTTAAATGAGCCTTGGCCCAGAGAAAACGCCTGCGCTTCTGGTTCCCGTTTAGATATGGCTTCTTTTTTGACCTATAGAGCTTTAGCCGGCAACGTATCAAATGTTGAAAGTGAGACATTTTGAATTGCCATGCCAAATGGCTCCTTTTGGATTTCATGAGAGCTACAAATTCCAAAAAAGTTGGGACAGGTAGCAATAAGAGGCCAGAAAAGTTAAATGTACATATAAGGAACAGCTGGAGGACCAATTTGCAACTTATTAGGTCAATTGGCAACATGATTGGGTATAAAAAGAGCCTCTCAGAGTGGCAGTGTCTCTCAGAAGTCAAGATGGGCAGAGGATCACCAATTCCCCCAATGCTGAGGCAAAAAATAGTGGAGCAATATCAGAAAGGAGTTTCTCAGAGAAAAATTGCAAAGAGTTTGAAGTTATCATCATCAACAGTGCATAATATCATCCAAAGATTCAGAGAATCTGGAACAATCTCTGTGCATAAGGGTCAAGGCCGGAAAACCATACTGAATGCCCGTGATCTTCGGGCCCTGCATCACACACAGGAATGCTACTGTAATGGAAATCGCAACATGGGCTCAAGAATACTTCCAGAAAACATTGTCAGTGAACACAATCCACCGTGCCATTCACCATTGCCGCACGCTAGTAAAGCCTAGTTCACACTACATGATTTTAATGAACATTTATTCTGAGCTTTAGTGATTTCTCTAGGTAACAATGTTATAATCTGCAGCTCACACACCTCTTCAAGTCAGACAAACACAGGAAAAAAACAAGAATTACATTTTTCTTTGAATTACATTTATTTCTCGCATCAGCTTCCAGCAAACTAGCCCACTGTACATATATCACACGAAACAACCTTCAACAAAGATATCTTGAGGAACCCAGTCGAGCCTTGGCCCAAACTCTCTTCATGGGTTTCTGAAGTGTTTTACTCTTCTAATGGTGACGACAGAGGTTTGAACCGGGAAGAAGTGGGAGAAGCAACCAAATCTATGATTATCCTTCATCATAATACAGTTTCTGCGGCCTCACTCATTCATTGTCTTGCTAAATATACAAGTGAATCGGTCTAAAGACACCCTGAAAGAAAAGTGTTAGGAATGGAGTCAGGCATTCATCGGGCCTTCTGGGAAACATCACACCGACACAGACGCTTCATTCTGTCCTCCTGATTGGCTGATCAGGGTTTTGCGAGAGAAATCAGAGCCGTGGTTGTTCAGAGTATTTGGCAGAACACCTGAACCATCTCCATCTATACAAGCTCTTCACATTCAGCAATCTCATCCCAATCATTTCGATGTGAAAACAAATACAATGCAAATCAAATATTACTGAAAATCTATTTTTTTCCCATAATTGGAGGTAGTCAGTACTTGAATATAATTTTATCAAAATCTACACGATGACGCACACAAACACAGTTATATGTGAATCTTCACAATATTTAACGTCTTTCTTTAAGGCTCAGCGAGACTAAAGGGA